TTTAACCAGACGCTCAAACGGATGCTGAAGCGGGTGGTGGCCGAAGATGGGCGCGACTGGGACCTCATGATCCCGTACGTGCTCTTTGGAATCCGGGAAGTACCACAGGCCTCCACAGGCTTCACCCCCTTTGAACTGCTGTTTGGGAGACAGCCCAGGGGCCTTCTAGACGTCGCTCAGGAAGCTTGGGAGAACCAACCAGCCCCACTTCGGAGCCTCGTCGAGCACGTACGGGAAATGAGAGAAAGGATTGACCGAGTCATGCCCCTGGTTAAAGAACACCTCGTGACAGCCCAGCGCGCCCAGCAACGCCTGTACGACCGGCCCGCCCAAGCCCGGGAGTTCCAGCCGGGCGATCGTGTGGTAGTTCTGGTCCCGACAGCTGCATGTAAGTTCCTAGCGACCTGGCAGGGGCCCTACACCGTAGTGGATATTCATCCTAATGTGTGAAACTGTCCAATTAAAATCAAGAAAATTAATTATTTAAATTAATTATTAAGAAAAAGATAAAATCTAAAAACTTCCCTGCTCTCTCTCTCTTTTATCAAATGTATATTTGTATGATATTTTCAGAGGTAGTTCACTGGCTCTTTAAGTGTTTGAAAGGCGGAAGCGCGGCGCTCAGTCCCAGGGTGCACCGCGGGAAGATGGCGGGTGTGCTAGAAAAGAGTTACATAGAGATCTGCGGCTTCGAAAGAGAGTCTGTTTTACGATTCAGACAGATCACACTGAATCTGGGTAACGCCTTTTCATTCTAAACTGTTTTAGAGACGGCGTTTTCAGTCAGATGTGTTTTAAGATAGGCTGCGACTTTAGTGCTGCAGCGCGTGCGTGTCGCGAGGCGGCGGACTCAGAACAGGCGCTGGATAACGGTCATATAAAAGACAAATATCTCTTACTGTGTCACATTTTTCTGAAATTAAAGTTTTTTTCCCTTTTCTTTCAGGGATTTTGTTATGTGCTTCTGAAGGGCAAACGCACAATATAAGTAACGTTAGTACAGTACAGTAGGGGAGAGTGGGGCACAACGTAACACTTTGTGTAAATCCACATGGGTTTCAGAGTATAATTTTTTATCCACAGTAATTATACTCTTGTCTAGTAAAAATAGGACGCTTTATTTCATAATTACAGTGTATGCATTTTTTTTTAATTTACCTTCAAAGAATGGAAGTGAAATGTGACAACATGCCCCGTAGGTGGGGGACATTGTAACGTCTGAGGGGCACGTTGTATCATGACCATATGACAGCTTAAAATGTTATCTGATCTAATAAAAAAATATACTAGACAAACTAAAATATGTTGTCAATAAAATAAACTTACTAGCTTTTTCAAATAAAATAATGGAGTTTTTTAAAAATGAAAAATAATCTGATTTTGAAGTTTGACAATGAACAGTAAACTCGTCTTTGACCCATATATATATATATATATATATAGAGAGAGAGAGAGAGATGGCTAATGTTTTTGTTTTTTGGAGTCATGTACTGCTAGTCAAAAGTGTGACCACATCTAATCTATATTATGACTTCCACATTTTTTAGCAATATAGTGAATTCACCAAAGCTACAAAATAACACACAAATAGAAGTAATGGAATTACAGTGATAAAATTGACAAAGAAATAATGGGGTCCCATACTATTTAGCTGGGCTTTGGCATTAAAAAGATGAAAACATTAGGTGGTCTTCATTACGTATCTGGATGTAAATCATGCATTTTGTAAATGCATTTTTCTGCAGACCGTTTATCTGCCAAAATGTTTTTAAGATCGTGAGAAATATAAATTCACCCGAGTGTGTCCAGAGTTTTTTGGTAGTGCGGGATATAGTGAGCGTGTTGTTTGAGGTGTGTGTCGTTGTGTTTGGCAGGTGTTGGACTTCACTTCGGCGGTGTGAAGTATGCAGACAGTGCAGGGGGATTCTCATATGAGGACAGCGGGAAGCTCCTCTCAGTCACCAGCAACAGATTCATCCACTGGTACGGATACATGCTTCAACACTTTTCAGACTCTCTTTTGATACAACTGTGACTTAATTGTATTTATAGTTTCTTCAGAAATGTCTGATTACTCGGAGATCATCTCTTTCAGCTGAGATCTATCAGGTTCAGACTGCTTTGATTTTGATTAGTTGAGAGTAACTGGAAGAGCACTAGAAACCTTTACTGAAGTTGACTAGTCTTTACTTGATTGTTATCATTGCAATCAAAATTACATTTCATTATTGGTTAAACAGCAGATCACAGTGAAATCTAGAGCAGGGCTCGAAATTAACTTTTTTACTTTGTAGCACTGGTGCTCCCAACTTTAAAAACTTAGGAGCACCAGCAAAAATGAATGAGCACCACAACTACAAGTTATATATTAACAGATTTCATCTTTACATTCTTAACTTTAATGCAGATTTTATATTGGTTAATATTAGGTGACCGCTAACTACCGTGGGAAATGCAAAGGGCTGAAGAAGAGAGAAAATGAAAAGAAACACTGACAGATTTCTTTCGTAAACCAGTTAATCTGAGTTTGGTTAAACAGAGAGAGAGAGAGCTCCTCTTTAGCGAGGGTTAGGATGGTATATGCGGTGTTAAATTTTACATTCAGTTCTGCCAATTGCACGGAAAGGCTGGCAGCTAGGGGTGTGCGATATTGACAAAAAATTATATCTCGATATTTTCTAGGATTTAATCGATAACAATAATTAGAAGATATTTTGCTGAGTGTGTTATTGTGCTGGTGTCTTAAGGACTACCGTGGACAGCTGACTTTGATATTCTTCATATTCTGTGTGGTGGTCAGTTCATACTGATAGAAATTAATCTTTTCCAATAAGTTTAAATAGATTTTTACCTTTGACAATTAAGCAATTTTTTTTCTAAAAGTGTGCATCCTCATTTGAGTGAAATTCTTACATTTAATCAGTCAGTTAGAATAATAAGACATTTGGGCTGTTACCAAGCAAATTAAATCAGTATCAACAAAATTCATCTTTGAATTTTGAATTTCTGAAATGGCATTTAGATGCATTTACACACTGCTTAATGCAGGACATAAATGCATTTAAGCTGCAGTTACACATGTATATATTATGTTTTAATACTGTAAACTAGGGATGCACCGATACCACTTTTTCCAGTACTCGCCCGATACGATACTTACCAGTATCGGGCCCACTGTAAACATAAAACGGTGAATACTGATATTTGAAATTATTTTTAAAAAAAAGTTAGTTTGAGTTTCCCTCATTTCTTCGCTTTCAAATGGCTTGTAAAAGTGCGTGCACATTTTACTTTCACTTTCAAATTAGCGGCAATTCGGCGTTGGGGGTCATATTTTGCGATTTCAATTTTTCCTTTCTATTTGAAATGTTACAAGCTCTTGGTGCATAAAGAAGATCTGTAAAGTTGAAGTTTTTTGCACACAAAAAACTAATAAATATGTGGAAAAATTATTTTTAACTCCCATTCTGACGACCTGTTTTAAGGGGCAAGTCCTTTAAGGCTTGTCAGGAATCAGCCACTGTTATGATTGGCTAACGTCACTGCATAGGAAACAGTATCAGCGCCCCCTCGCTATTACATGTTTTGAGTGTTTTGACAACATAATCTAATAAAACGGTCATTGTGAAATAATTTACTTGCGGTTTGTGATGCAGTTGCAGTCAGATCTAGTACCGCTTCATCTTTCAACAAATGTTTTTTTAGGGACGATATTATCAGAACGTTATCGGAATCGGCCGATAATGGTTTAATATATAAATATCGGCATCGGCCGGATATGAAAAATTATGCCGATATGATAAGACGAATAGCTCACATGTGCTCAGGGTGTGCTAGTGATAAAATCACATCAGCGGTGTTTCATTCTTTAAGCAAACATTTTCATGAATAGTGATTAGATTCACTGTTTTTGATCGCAGCATTTAATTTGAGAATGCAGATACAGAACGACACGTCTAGTCTAGGGGGCGCTGTTGGGCTACTAGTAATAAAATGAATGTAAAATTATACACAAATAACATTAAGATTGTGTTTCTGATTAAATAAAGCAGTAAATGATGTCATAAAATCACGAGTATATTTTGATTTAAAGGTCAGAATCTATAGCTTGACATGAATAAAAATCAAACATGACTGTAAGAGATGGCCCAGTGGTCAGAGGAAATAATTACAATCAAGCTGGTCAGAGGTTTAGTGAATCCCAAAAACGTGGTTTATTACCGCGAGGTGGGAAAAAATTCCATGGACACATACTGGACTACAAACAAAAACTGTACAAAACAAAAGGTTTGGGGGAAATTCTCACCCGAAATAAAGGTAATTCTGACTGAAATTAAACTGTGTTGTGACATTCTTTAAAAAGAATAACTGATTGAACAAAATGTTGGCCAACAAAAAAAAACAACAACATAGGATCATACTCATTTGAAACAGGCAGAACAATTACACAACACAGCGATGATTTAAAAGATGGTAAATGCCGGCATAATCAAGTAAATCAGATGAGACCGATCCAAATACGATATTGTGCGTATACTATGCTGTGTTATTGTCAGTTACTACAGTCAAAACGATGAAACTCTCTTCAAGAGCACACAATAACTGAGATTTAAAACTGTTAAAAGAAAAGGCTCAATAAAATATCGCACTGATAATGTGTGAAATGTTGACGGTGTCTGAATAAATTTAGGTTTGACTGTATCTATTTGATAAATGAATTTAACCAACTAACATTATACGTACTCTTTCGGTTTCTGTACCCAATATTCAAAAAATGTACAAATGCAATAAAAATATCGGTATAGGTACTCGGTATCGGCAAGTACCAAAAATAAAAGTATCGGTATCGGGCGAGTACTGGAAAAAGTGGTATCGGTGCATCCCTAATATATATATATATGTATGTATATATATGTATGTATATATACTTAGGCTACTTGTTTTTCATGAATGTATTTTATAACAATACAAAGAGCAATGTGTAACATTTTACCAAATTTATTCCTACACTTAACTTTTATTTGTTCCCCACTAAATAATGTTGTTTAACTAAATGTTTAGTGGAAAATAAACTGGAAATATGATCATTTAGTTTATGAACATTTAGTTTAATGTTATGTTTAATGTTAATGTTAATGTTCATAAAAATGAACATTTAGTTTAATGTTTTTATAAAATTATTGTGCACCCATGATTTTTCTAGAATAACTTTTGCTGCTGAATTATCCACTAACCTAGTTTATAATAGTATTTTTTTGTCATAGATTATGATTATCTATTTTTTCATTTGTTCTTTTTCATTAATATGAAGTTGTCTATTTAGCAGATTGTGTTTAACACACACAAGAGTGATGATCAGGTCAACACACAGAAGTATAGAAATTCTACATTGATTTAAAAAAAACTGCTGGTATCGGATCGGTTCTGAAAAAATAGTATCGTTGCATCTCTAAATGTTACCACTGCATCTGTCTGAAAAAAGGCAGCAATAGGCTTGCCGCGATAGACGGTGTTGACGGTGATACAGTGATGTTGATAAGGTGATGTTGACGGTTAAGCCGCAACACCGGTTACGTCACTTGCCCACCACGTCACCGACCCCCACCGTCGTTTAGATTTTTTATAGTAATAAAAATCATTTAGTTCAGTAAAAGAGCAGACACTACAGTTAAAAACTGAAGGGCAGCAATTGATTTATAGTTATTTTCAAAGCTTTCAATGGACTCTCATTAATTAAGAACTTCTTTATTTAGTATTTGTTAGAAACTAACCAAAAATAATTTGTTTATAATCTCTGCACAGGACAAACTTTGGTGTTGTTTCCAAACAAAAGGAAATATATCGGCATCGGTTATCTGCCAAAATTAGTTGAAAAATATCGGATATCTGCAAAAATTTTTAGTTTTTAAGCTATGAAACTTGCAGGATGTTTTAATGGTACAAAGGCCTCTTATATGCCAAAAGATTGAGGCATGTTTGATTTCTCATGTCATGTCACCCCTTTATAATCACTGCAGTCACAATTGCAATCTTATACAGTATGCATGTTTTCTGCCCCGATGTAATGTTTCTCTAACATAATGGTGTGTTCTGAATAAATTGGTGCAAGTTGATTAATATGAAGTTATTTATTCTTTAAACATGTTTTATGTATTCCCGAAATCACTGGCTTCCTCTTTTTGTTTGATATTAAGTATATTGACTTTATTATGTCTCTTATCTTCTAGGTCCACCTCAGGTGACACGGTTCAGTTTGTCGAGCAGTCGCTGGACACTAATCTTCTGAATAATGCTGTTCGTCTGCATATCCCAAACTGCCTCTTGCTGCCCGGAGGAGTTTGCATACAAGAGACCCTTAACAACATCATTATTCTGATCGTCACCAGCCAGTCGGTTCATCGCCTGGTGCTGCCGCACCCCACCCGCATGTACCGCAGTGTGAGTGTCTGGATCTTTGCTTTCTTAGGCAGTTCCTGACTGCTACTAGCAGTGTAAACAGTACACGAATTTGCACTGATAATATTCGGTATGGGTCTTTTGGTTCAGTATGCATGTACCGCATTGTTTTAACCACTGCACAAGTGGAACTTCATTGGAAACTTCCAGTTTTATATATTGTTACTTTTGATAAGAAACAAAGTAGAGGTCGACCGATATGGGTTTTTTCACTGGCCGGTGCCGATATTTAGAAATCAGGGCAGCTGATGGCCGCTATATGATGATTTTTTTGGGCCGGTTTTCTTTTTTTCCCTTCATCTCATAAAAGTGAGTTTGAGTAAATGATTATTGCAGGGTACAAGATAGTAATAATAGTAGTAGTAGCCTAATTCAGAGTAATAATACATGGTTCAAAACTTAAGCACCTTCTCAAAACAGTTCTGAAGCATGCTTTTGGTTTATGTTTGCTGACAGACACCAGTGTTTC